CAAAATCTAAAGACTTTTAGAACTTGCAGGTCGGGGCTGCCTAGGAATAGGGTGGTAATGGAAGGTATGTGTCTACACAACTAGATTATTATTCCAAGATACTTAGGACTTAGCAACTGCTACATAGCATTACTCTACTATAAATGTCAAAAAGAACAATCATTAAATGCTGAGAAAAGCCACTAAAGAAACATTCTTATTAGCGGTGGCTACAGTAACATCAAGTATGAATTCAGATAAAAGATACAAACCATCAAGTTACTGCTGATTTCATTTCAGAAATAATAATTAGCAACAGGCCATTGAGAGATAGCAATCACTTGCAGTTGCAGGGGAGGCCAAGTATAGCCTCGATTACCAACGTATGGCCATTGTTGGTACCCTGAAGTCATAGGGAACCTTTCTTACAACTGTAGTAGTGACAGAGGTTCAAATTTTCATCCCGAGATCTGCTTCGAAGGTACGTGTGGATGGCCGTACGGAAGAGAATCGCTGTGACGTTGCAGGTCTCCTGCGTGGTGGTCTTAGTCAAGATCGGCCGAGGGCGGGACGAGGAAGCCAGGCTGGAAGGATTAGCGGATGGTACCAGTCCTTGTCCTTTTTGTTTTGCCTATCAGAGTAAAGGAGATATGGCAACAAACCTGGGCCTGCAGCAAGGACAGCGAGGGAGTGAAAAAAAAAAAGAATCCCCGAGGGAAACCGTGGAATCGCACCTAGCAAGAATTCATGAGCAAGGGACAGAGAAATTAAAAGTCGTCCTAGACAGAGAAATTAAAAGTCGTCCTAGACAGGGAAAATAAAAGTCGTCCTAGACAGAGAAACAAAAGTCGTCCTAGACAGAGAAATTAAAAGTCGTCCTAGACAGAGAAATTAAAAGTCGTCCTAGACAGGGAAAATAAAAGTCGTCCTAGACAGAGAAATTAAAAGTCGTCCTAGACAGAGAAATTAAAAGTCGTCCTAGACAGAGAAAAACAACTTATTAATCTTAGTGCAAATCATACAATTTATCCTCAAACAAAACATTTGTTACTTTCATATTATATTACTCACTATAATTCTTACACTTAAGAAATTAATATACTGTAATAGTGATTTCACGTGCATTAAATTTGTCAATTAAAAAATCGATACATTCGCGTTCTTAAAATTCAATCTAAGCATTAATACAAATAAATGGAACGCACTTCCAACGAAATTTCTTTACATTACTCAAATTATAACAAAAAACGGAGTTTATTACTGCTTATAGCTATTAGTACAAATTATCCATGTTAGTAATGGGTACAGAAATTCTACTTTTATCAACTTATTAGGCGCCACACCCCTCATAGGCGGGTTGGCTGAGTCAAAGCATAACTACAAGATAAAATGGCGGCGTCCACCGACCTCAATTTCTTTTACTAATTGTCCCATTACTCACTGGATTCAGATCACAAGTACTTAGCTATTTTAAGGAGGTGGTCCTGAAAAACTTCATGGCAGAAGGCAAGGAAGGAGGGGGTTTTCCTCTCTGGGCGCTGGAGGTTCCCGTCCAATTCTCTATCTCTCGAGTAAAATCGACGAATCGCCATCTTCTTGGTCGGATCCGGCAACTTATACTTCTTGTAATGGGCATTTTCACTCAATGCCGCGGTCACACTTTGGCTCAGTGCGACGGTATCTTCCATAAATACTTTCGTTGATACTTTTACTGCTGGGGAGGGGCCTTGCCAATACGGAGGCGGGGGAGAGTGGCTGGATCTCATAATATGATACTGTAAGTGAAGGGGGAGCTCTGACTTTCTCGGCGTCACTCTCTCACTGCTGGTAAGCGTCTTGAAGTTTTTTCACTTGTACTTTTCTTCCATAGATGCTATATATTTTTTTATACTTCTATTTTTTTTTTCTTCTTTCTCTTCGGTAAAGTGTCGGCGTGGATTGATCCCGAGCTGTCCACCACTGACGTGAGGATATTTTTATTATCCCTTCTAAATGACACCACTTTGTAGGATAGTATCCCACCGCTGCCACCACTGACGTGAGGATATTTTTATTATCCCTTCTAAATGACACCATTTTGTAGGATAGTATCCCACCGAGTGTCACCACTGACGTAGGGTATTTCTTACTTCCTTACGTTATATATTTATAATTATGGTAGCGTGGTTGGTGAAAGACATCTTCTTATCCATAGTTTATTCTTATTTTAACATCTATGTACTCAGAGCTCCTATTACTACAGTTCCTGTCACGACTAATTCCTGAGTCCCACCCCGGAAGGGGAGGAGGCTAACTCTGCTGTACTGTGTTAACTCTGCTGCTGGCAAGGCCCGGTCTCTAACTCAACTCACTGTGCCTGCCCTGGGTGGTTCTTGAAATACCCCAAGGGCAGGGGCGTGGCATGTATGGGGAATAAAGGACTGGTTTATATCTCTCACCCTCTTGAGATATGAGATACGCCAGATGCCGAGTCCCAAAAGTCCTACGACCTACGACAAGTTGACTCTAGGAAGGTTCAAAGTAAAATGATCTCTACTTTCCCAAAGTATATTGAAATAGATATCGAAAAGCATTTGTTATTGGCAGTATCTTATC